CCTTGCATGGTTTGTTTTCAAATGGTTTGCTGCTGTCTGTTTGGACCTTTCTGAACATGTGCAGCAAACAACATGCAGAGAGGCTCCGTCTGGGGAGTTTTGGGGGGAATTTATGAAATTCAATTGATAACACACTTATTCACCTGAGAACTGATAAAGTATAAGTATAATAACGTATAAAGAATCTCAGTCTATCTACATATTTATTTTTATTGCATTTTAAATAGGACTATAGGCTCATAGGTCTTTTTTCCAAGAAATTTTTAAGAAATTCACAGCACCCCCTGATCAGGAGGACTTCCATCTGTCCTGAACAGAGTTTAAAAACATTTGGTGTTTAAGCCAATGTTGTTATTATATAAATCTTTTTTTCAAGCACTTTTTAACTCTTCTCTCATTGCTCTTTGTCTCTCTTTTTTTTTTATCTCTGGGTGTTTTATTTGACAGGAAATATCGATCTATTCTTGTATAAGGAAAGCAGAGGGCAGAAGTTAATGTTTTGAGTCACAATTTTCTGTCATCTTTGTTATGGGATTCCAAACATGCCTAAATGTGGGGCCCCACCTGTGAGGGATGTAGGCATCCACCAGAGGGGGCTATACTCCTTCCAAACCACTGAGCTACCAGCAAAGCACTTAGTGGGGAGATCAAACCTAGTTTTATTTTTGCAATCAGACAAGATCAGATCCTGGAATTGACCCCTGGGGGGTGGAAGCTGAAGCTGCCGGGGAGACATGAGGTACGGGGGGGGAGGTTTGTTAATACAGAATAGTTCTTGAAGTATTTATGAAGCAACCTTGGTCAAATTCCAAGATTAAAAATATAATCATCTTTAAATTGAATATTTCTTACAGTTCAGTTAAGCTGCAGCATCTTTAAAGTCCAGTAAATCCAGTTGGATCAGACATGACTGCTCATCCAGAGCTCAGATCAAACACTGATCAGGATTTCATCTCAACAATCTCCTCATCATCAACACACTATCAAACAAATCTGTTTTAATCTTGATTTAAACCCCTCACTGGTGGAGGATTATTAATCCCTTTTATGTTTGTTTTGCACACAAAACTAATAGGAAAAGAGCCTATAGGCCAAACAAATCAACTCTACCTTTGTCCCTTCTTCCTGCCACATCGTCGATTCAATGATGTAGCAACAGACTGGCTTTTTATAAGCAGTAGTTCTAGATGCTGATAGCTGGTTCTTCTGTAGAGGTCTGTCTTTTACTTGATCTGGAGAAGCCTCTGACTGAAGACACTTTGTTGTTTAACTGACTGATGAAGGGGATGCTCACTGTTCGCTATAATATTCTTGGTTTTATAGAATAGAATAGAATAGAATAGAATAGAATAGAATAGAATAGAATAGAATAGACAATCCCTTTATTTCCCCACAAAGTGGAAATTCTTGTTTTTACAGCAGCAAAAAGATTATAGAAAAAATGGTCACACAAATGTGGACCTTAGAAAAATGTATAAGAATATCATAATGAGCCTTGGCCTGGAAAACTTTGAAGACCCCTGCTGTAAAGTGTTTACCAATAAAACTAACCAATAAACAGCTGTGGACATTTTTTACAGTAATAGATATTTGAAAATAGCAGCAACACCAGAGATGTGCAGAATGTTATTTAATTGATTAAGATAGAAAATGTGCAAAATCAGCATGAATGGAGCAACTTATTGAGGTTGTTGGGAACAGTGGTGGTTCTAGAGTCTTCCAGCTGCTGGGAGGAAGGATCTGTGATAACGCTCCCTGGTGCGTTTAGGGTGCAGCAGTCTGTCACTGAAGGAGCTGTCCAGTTCAGCACCAGCTGAACCAGCATGGGGNTGTGAGGTTCTGATCTGGTATCAGAACTCTGACTGCAGAACAGTCCATCAGTTCTCAGTCTGTAGGTATACAGTCCTGCATCAGAACCTTCAGCTGGTTCCTACTGGACCGGCTGGGACTCAGGTGGTACTGTGGGTCAGAGATCAGCAGGATGATGATCTGCTGTGGATAAAAAAAACCTTAAAGATAGAGTTGGAGGGGAAGAAAGCACTTCCTTTTGTAACTTCCTGCTAATGCAAACTTCCTGTCGGTGTTTCACAATAAAAGCCTGCACCCTGCCTTATTGTGAAACTTTCTCAGCTCTGCGGATCAGCTGCTGGTTCTCCACTGTCACAGTTCCATCAGTGATTCGTTCATAAAAGAGGATTTTTTTAATGGATAGAGAAACCACAGTGTGCCCTGGTTCTGCTAATCCAGCTAGAAAACAGGAACCAGGCTCTAAATCTAAACCTTCAGGAGCTCATTAAGAGAAAGAAACAAAGTAGGCCTTCTACCCAGGGACGGATTTAGAAAATTTGGGGCCCAAGGCAAAGACAGGCAGGGGCCCTCTGAATGGAGAAAACAACACATAGAACAGCCCCATTCTCCAGATGTAGA